ACTTGTTTCTTTTAAATTGAACCGATTTAAGAACTCACTGAACTTTTCGTTCCACACACGTGAGGCTTGTTTCAGCCCATACATAGATTTTTCGAGTTTACAGACCATATTATCACTCCCGACACTAACACCTTCCGGCACTTTCATGTAGATGTCTTCAGTTAAACTTCCATTGAGGAATGCAGATTTTACGTCAAATTGTTGAATCTCAAGATCTTCTTCGGCAGCCACTGCAAGGAGGACTCGTATGGAGTCATACCTGACTACTGGAGAGAATGTTTCTAAATAGTCCAGTCCCTGTTGTTGAGAGAAGCCACGTGCGACCAGACGAGCTCTGAATCGATCAATATCTCCTGAAGGTGATCTTTTAATTTTAAATGTCCACTTTGAGTCGATGATATTTCTGCCAGATGGAGCAGGAACTAGTTTCCAAGTCTTATTCTTCTCAAGTGCATGAAGTTCTTCTTTAATAGCCTGGTTCCAAAATTCTGCATCTTCGCAGGAAACTGCGTCTTTGTATGTTTGAGGTTCGTGATATTCAATATAATTTACTTGATATCTAATCGGGGGTTTAATTTTGCTTCTGTCACGAAGTTCGCGAACTTGTTCTTGTTGTGGTTGTTGATCTCTAGGTTCTTCGACTTAATCGTCAACATTGCCTGCATCAGGAATAATTTCTCTTTCGATATCAGGAATAACTAATTCAATTTCTTTTGATCGATGATCATTGATGATGGCTGATTTGGATTCATTGAATATCACGTTTCGGGAGACGGTAATTTTTCGAGTAACAGGGTCGTATAGACGATAATTTGTAGATTCGTCCTGGTATCCGACGAATTGAAGTTTTTTAGCTTTACTGTCCAATTTCACACGCAGACTGTCTGGAATGTGGGCGAAGGCATCGCAACCGAATATTCTTGTATGAGATAGATTGGGTTTGTTTCCCGTCCAAATCTCATAGGGTGTCGTGTTAGTTACTTGAGTGGATGGAGTTCGATTTAATATGTACACGGCCGTATTTACGGCTTCTGCCCATAAAAAATGTGGCATGTCCTTTGCGTGCAGCATAGACCTTGCGCTCTCGATGATAGTGCGATTATCTCTCTCCGATCGGCCGTTCTGTTCTGAAGTATAGGGTGCAGTGTTCTCGACTTGAATGCCTTTATTTTTAAGATAATCTTTCATTTCTTTACTCGCGTATTCTCGTCCGTTGTCTATTCGCATGACTTTAATTCCACGATTGAATTTATTTGACACCAATTTTTGATACTCCTTGAAATACTCAAAAAGATCTGATTTGTGACGCATGAAATAGACACACCGAAAAGCAGAATTGTCGTCTTTAAAAACTACACAGAATCGCGCACCACCTAACGATTCAGTTGACATCGGGCCCATAACATCACTGTGTATAAATTCACCGGGTAGAACATTTCTGCTTGTATTTTTCTGTCGGAAAGGAAGTCGATGAGATTTACCGAATTGACATCCTTCACAAAAAAATCGTCTATTTTTGAGAATTTCACACCGTTTACGAGATCCTTTTTCGTCATGTCCTTAAGAGTTGATTGGTTGATATGTCCTAATCGTTCGTGCCAAGTTTGTAGACTGTCGCTAACTGTCAAATTTGCTTCACTTGCTATAATGGGTTTTAATAATAAACGACATATGTTATTATTTTGCTTGATACCTCGAAGAATCACCTCGTTTCCTTTTAACACTTCTATTGTGTTATGTGTGAATATCACATCCAGTTTCTTCGTTGTGCACACACCCACTGAAAATAAATTCTTTTTGAAATTTGGCACATATAACACATTATTTAGATTCACATCCAACCATACACTATTAATAAGTCTTTTTGCAGCCACTGCTCCAGTTCCCTTTACTTCGCAGACTCCGTTGTCTCCTAATTCAACGTACGACTTTTCGAGTGGAGTAAAAGTCGAGAACCACTCTCGTCGGAAGGTTATGTGATTTGATGCTCCACTGTCAGATAACCATACATCCTTAACATCACTTTCTAAAAGTGTTGATACTTCACTAGATGAGATTGCACCGAATGCCGATATTACAGATTGATTAGGTTCTATCACTTCTTTGGTACTGGAAATATTTTAAACAACTAACGCCTCGATATTATTATCACAACTATTACCGCACCCCCTATTTTGTTTTTCATTTGCCTTTTTTCGCGCACGGCATTCTTTAATTAAATGTCCGGTTTTGTGACAATAATAACACTCCCGTTTTTCGGCCTTTTTCAATTCTTTGCAATTTTTCGATGATTGAGTGAATTTTTTCTTTGAATTTATATTCACGGTGGCGAGCGCATTTGCCATATCATCACTTGTTGTAACACGTGCTTCCTCTTTTAACAAACGTTCGAGTAGGTTATTTAATGTTTGTTGTTCCGCGGTTACACTGTCCCAGGCTGTCACTAGATTGCTGTATTTTGAAGGGAGACTTCCAAGTACTTTTGCCATTATGGCGACGTCAGACACTTGTTCACCTAGATCTTTCAATTGACGGGCCATGTTTTCGATTTTTGCGACATGTTGTGACACTGAGTCATTTGTACTCATGCGATATTCATGGAATTTTTGCATTAGTAGTAATTTGTTCGAAGCGGTTTTTTGTTCGTGTATCGTCGACAGTTTTGTCCACATCGCCGCGGCGGTATCACACGTAATGAGGTATTCGAGTTGAGAATAATCCATGGTTGACGATATTATGAAAACAGCTTTTGCATTATCCTTTATCTATTCCGATCTTGTTGGATCAGCTGCTGCTGGTTCCGCTTTTGTGCCATCTACAATTTCTTTTAATCCGTGAGCAGTGAATATCGCATTCATCTGGAACTTCCATAATGTGAAGTTCGCTCCGTCAAACTTTGTCACATTTTTTGTATTGAGCGGGTCGGCCATTTTTACTGTTTATGTATGCACACACACACACACACAAAGAAACTGGGAACAGAAAATTCACGAGAAATGGCGTCGCGATTACGCGTGCTACGAGGTGACAATTTTCGATCTATTTATTCGTCTGTTTTTCTCTTTAGGTTATGCACTGATATTAAATTGGTGACTGGGCCCATAACCTATTCAATATTATCGAATATGTTTGGAATATATGAAAACAAAACTGGAGAAAAACAGGTTAAATTGACAGAGTTTATTAGACGGGGTTATTGATGTGAATACAGATCGATACTGATCGTTGTTGTACATGAGTATTTTAGTTGTCCCGTTTTACGATATAGGCGGCGCTTTAATCAGCCGGCGGTAAAATATGAAATAACATTCTTAACACCTTCGAAATATTATATTACATAACTTTCATTTATCGAAATTTTATTTGCCATAATGTTCATTTACTCGAATTATCAAGTGACATAAAGCGCATTTACTCGAATTCTCATGTGACATAACCTTCAAATCTTCGAAATGTCATATTTAAGAAATTTCAATTATCGAAATTTTATTTGTCATAATGTTCATTACTCGAATTATCAAGTGACATAAAACGCATTTACTCGAATTCTCATAAGACATAACCTTTAAATCTACGAAATGTCATATTTCAGAAATTTTAATTTATAGAAATTTCATTTGTCATAATTTTCATTTATTCGAATAACCATTTAACATAAAATTTATTTGTCCGAAATTCTATTTGACATAATTTTCAAACATCCGAATTACTTTTTAACCTATAATGCAAGTCACAGAAAGTTCATTTGTCCTAAAAATAACAATAGAAATGAGAAAAATATTTGAAAATTTCATTTTTATTTTTAGGACAAATGAACTTTCTGTGACTTGCATTATAGGTTAAAAAGTAATTTGGATGTTTGAAAATTATGTCAAATGGAATTTCGGACAAATAAATTTTATGTTAAATGGTTATTCGAATAAATGAAAATTATGACAAATGAAATTTCTATAAATTAAAATTTCTGAAATATGACATTTCGTAGATTTAAAGGTTATGTCTCATGAGAATTCGAGTAAATGCGTTTTATGTCACTTGATAATTCGAGTAATGAACATTATGACAAATAAAATTTCGATAAATGAAATTTCTTAAATATGACATTTTGAAGATTTGAAGGTTATGTCACATGAGAATTCGAGTAAATGCGCTTTATGTCACTTGATAATTCGAGTAAATGAACATTATGGCAAATAAAATTTCGATAAATGAAAGTTATGTAATATAATATTTCGAAGGTTTGAAAATTATGTCAAATGGCAATTCGGAGGATTAATAATTATGACAAATAGTCATTCGGAAAAACAAAATGTATGTCAAAAAAATTTTCGACATATTAAAAATTATATTAAAAAACAATTCGACTATTCAAATAATAGGATAAAGAATAAATCGATAAATTAAAAATTATGTTGAATGAAATTTCGAAAACTGAAAATTATGCGAAATGATGTTTCAATGATAAGAATTTCGATGTTTTGAACATTAGGAAGTTGAAATTTGAGGAATAATCATGCGCCCCTATCAAGCCAATCCCAACACTTTTAATTTTTGGCTGGGACGTTTGAGAAATAACGCCCCATATGCAAATTATTACTTTTTTAAACAGTGTAATTTTATTATGAATTATGTGAATTATTATATTAGTGTCTATATTTAATAAAAAAAACTCACGAAACAAATAAAACTAACCAATTGGAGCAACAAAGTCAATCCTCTTTAAAGAAGAAAAACTTTAATATTTTTAACAATTAATTTTGCGCAACTTGAATTCTTACTCTGAGTATGAAATAGAGTAAGTTCAATAGAAAAAACCATATAAGTTCAAAAAAAATAAGTTGAAAAATCGAATTTCAAAAGTGTCACTTTCAGAAGAATCACCTATATTTATATTTATATATTAATATTATTCTTTTTACTATACATATTGCTGAAAACGTTGAACAAAAAATTTTTGGTGGACGAAGGAAACATTTTAATATAATATAACATAAGATTACCTGCGATTTTTCAGGCATTGAAACAGAAATGAGAGATAAATTTCTCGATGGAGCTGTGATAGCCAGTGGAGGAAACCAAGGTGCACCAGTACAGAAAGCAAGAACACCTTGTGGATCTTGCATCGATTTTGATTTTTCACTAGAATTTTCAGTTCTTGCTCCCAACACTGAGAGTAATTGTTCTAAATGTGGAACTAGATTGCCGAACATTAGCTAAAACATAAAATAATTACTATAAATTATTATGTAGAAAAGAATTTACCAAGTAATTCATGTTATAAAAGTTAAAACAGCGATAAAAATAAAAACGATTTTGAAATTAGAAATATCAATTTTTACATATTAGGTCAATCAATCAGATAGGGTTTAATTCGCTTAATTTTATATCAGTATTAACAGTATTATTTGATCAGAAGAAAAAAAGGGACCCGTTTTTGTTTGAAATATCAAAAACTAAAATAATTAATTTTTTTAAATTTTCTTTTCATTAATTTGTTTTAAAGATGTTTAAAGATAAAAATATATGTTGCGCAAAATTAATTTCCAGAAATACAACCTCCAGAAATATTTCAATATGCAAGTTATTTCTAAAAACAATTTTTTATTTTTTTCGTGGGTTATGAAAATGACAAATGAACGAAGCATAAACAGAAAAAAGGTTACAAGTTTCAGGTGCAATTAAATACTATTACTGGGTGCCAAATCAGGAAAATCTGAATAATAGTAAGTTGCAAAATTGTTTCAGATGGTCTCCGAAATTTGTAGGTTATGTGCGACCTACACTTGTCGCCCTACAAAAACGGTACTGCCTGGCTTAAATGACGTAAAATTGGAAAACAATCATTTTAGAACGAGTTTTTCTCGGCACACCAAATGTATCGAAACCCTGGGCTCTTTTCACATATATTAACACACAATTAAGAAAAAAATATTTTTTTATTTATTCTGCCCTTCATGGCGACAAAATGGCTGCTGAACTGATTGTCCGGAAAAAAATGGTTGATACGATATCTCTGCTTCAAAATGTCGGAAACAAAAAATCCAAAGAATTTCTTAAAATATGTCAGTGGCTATAGCCTGAACCACAACCAACATTCTACATCCATTTTTAACCCCATTTTTTACCGTTTTAGGGGTGAAAAAGAGGTAACAAAAATTCAAACCGCCGACATTTTCTCATTTTTTTTTAAATTCATTTTTTTGGTTCAGGCCATAGCCACTGACATATATTTTAAGAAATATTTTTTTCTTAATCCTCAATATGTGTGAAAAGAGCCCAGTGTTTTGATACATTTTACTATGAAAAAATAAATGTTGAAAAAACACGCAACCGTGTTTCTGCATGGATTAAAAAAATGTTTCGGATTTAGGTAATTAAGAAGATTTGTGTCAATGGTTCGAATTTAGATTTTGCAAAAAGTGCTTGTGTGCAGAGAAAAACTCGTTCGAAAATGATTGTTTACCAATTTCACGTCATTTAAATTAGGCAGTGCCGTATTTTTTGGGCGATAACAGTTTATCGAACATAATCTGGAAATTTCAGAAACCATCTAACACCGTTAAGGCGGGCGCAAAGAAACTGATTCTCCCCGAGTACTTTTATGCCCGCTTTTGCTCGTGCCCTCAATGCCATATTTTTCATGCAGTTAGGACAAAAAATTATGCTCGCAACATGGACGCAAAGGTGATTACGACTCAGGCAAAATTTCAAAAAAAAAAAATTTTTGAATTTTTTGAAATTACCTTTTTTCCATATAGAAATTTCAATTAATTCTTGTCAAAATCATATTCATGACACAAATACGAATAGATTCATGTATATAAAGTATACATTTTACCAATATTTATATAATTAATAGCTATTTTTATAACGAACTAAAAATTAAAATTTCTTAAAATTTTTAAAAACTTATCTTAACACTTCGGAATAATTTTTTATCATAACAAATGAAGCAATTGGATTATAAAAAGTTTATATTTCAGTAAATATTTGTAAAACAATTTAAATGAGGAAGCTAAATGATTATAATATGAATAACTAGTTTGTTATTTTTAGACACTGTATTAATAATATAAATTTGATATGATCTTTCACTGGAAAATACAAATTAATGTTCTTTTACTGGTCAACGTTCTTTCACTAGTAAAATGGACATTTTTCAATATTCGATTAAAATTTTATATATTAGGGTAATGTCACCATGAGTGGACCGCCACTTTGAGTGGACTGCCTGAGCTTTAAAGTTATCTGGCACCGGAAACGTGAAATAAATAGTGCCAATAGCAGCACCGCACTTAGTAACCGAAAAAAATTAAGTTCCGCGATAAACATATACGTTACCCAACTTAAAATCCCCACACAGGATCCTTAAAGGATCCCGTACGGGATTTTGGGACAGGGTTTCTGTGCAGGTTTCGATGGAGGAACCTTAGATTCCTGTAAAGGTTCCTGTACAGGAACACTTACAGGATCCTGTACAGGAAATTATTTAATTTTTTAAATTTTTATATGTTAAGCAACATTTGACATACATAGACTTCATATTTCAATATGTTAGGCTCGTATAACAATGTTGGACAGAAAAATATATTGCGCATTCGAGAAACTCATAGAAAACTACTGCACAGGAGTTAAAAATATAAATAAATTAATTGAGGAAACTGTGTAGGATCCTTTACGGCTTCCTTACAGGATCCTTTATACTTAAGTACCTGCAGTTTACAAAACTGTAAAGGTTCCTGTGCAGGAACCTTTACAAAGTTTCCTGTACATGATCCTGCAAGTGTTCCTGTACAGGAACCTTTGATAGCTAAGGTTCCTGCATCGGAACCTGCACAGGAACCCTGTCCCAAAATCCCGTACGGGATCCGGTCAGAATCCTGCACAGAATCCCGAGAGGATCCTTTAAGGATTTACGGGGATTTTAAGCTGGGTACCGTTTGATGTAACGCGTTTTTAAGATCACAAACCAAAAAAGTCGCTCTTACAATAAGAAAAGTGATTCAGAAGTGTAAAAGTAGTGTAAAATTTAAGTTTTAAAAGGTTACTTATTTTTTTCCTACTACTTTGAACATTGAAATTAATTGTCTTAGTTTAATTAAGTGATAATTTTGACTCAAAAAAAAATTGTGGTGGCTGCCATTAAAAGTTGCATGTCACCATCAGTGGACCACTGTTTGTAACCATGAGTGGACTGCCTGTTTTTTCATTTTTAATGTCAGTTTACCATTTTTTGGATATAAATTAAAAATAAATTGGTTTGAAACTATGTTTTATGTTCTTTATTAATTTTTTTGTGATATTGATGTGATATGAGCCAAAATGATTAAAAATGGTTTCACTTGCAAACATTGCGACACACACATGGTCTGAAGCTGCATAAGCATAAATTTTGTATCAATATATCAGAAATATTAAATACATTAAAGAATTTAGAATAACAGAAATTACATGTATACAATTAGAAATTATTATAATTAGAAATTACATGTACCCCCACAGCACCGAAACTTTCCTAAAAATTTATTAAATATTTACTTGCGATATTCGGCATTTTAACTGAAAAGTTTAGTGAAAATTGAGTAAAGATTTAAATTTCCCGATTAAATAAATGTTTAGCGCGAAGCTTTCCTGAACATGTAAATTACGTTTTCGCATAATTATAATTATAATTAGGCGAAAATGTAATTTACATGTTCAGGAAAGTTTCGCGCTAAACATTTATTAATTCGGGAAATTTAAATATTTACACAACTTTTAATAAACATTGCAATTACAATATTCTGAACATTGCAAGTAAATATTTAATAAATTTTTAGGAAAGTTTCGGTGCTGTGGGAGTATTTCAGTTTTGAATATCTTGAATATCAGGATGCCTGTCGTCGACGGGCGAAAGCTCATAAATAAAATATTTTAAATAATTAAGATTATAGATTTTTATCAAACAATATAATATCACACTAAAATTATAAATCCAAACAAAATGACAGCACAAAATAAAAATTTAGAATAACTTTTGCAATTTTTTAGAAGTGGTCCACTCAAGGTTACACTTTTTTCATTCCTTAAAAATTAGCTTTTTTAAAGTCAATTTTTTCTTCAAAATAAAAAGAAGTCAAAGCTATTATGGTATAAACACTTATCTAGGGATCTAAACTAAAGCTTGGAATAGAAACCTCCGATTAATTTGCTTTCATATAGAATTTTTTCGAAAAAAAGCTTAGGCGGTTCACTCAAGGTGACATTACCCTATGTTATATTTATAAAATTTATATATAGGCTTCGAATTCTTTAGTAATTTTGCTATTTATTGTATATGTTTAAAACGAAATAAAAACTTTTTTTTTAATATCATCAACTTCAGGTTTGTATTTAACAACCCCAAAACTCCCCCCGTAACAAGTTTCAAAAAAATTAGTTCAATTTTTAAAAATTAACCTTGCATATACTTCATAAAAATGTACCTGGTAGGGTTTTTTCACCGTGACGCCGCTTGAAATCATGTCGGGCATAATTCTTTTATAAAGTGGGACACTTAAGAGAGTGAAATCAGACTTTTTTTATTTTTCTTTCCCTCTCCATAACTCCCACAAAACTCAAAATTTTGAGTTAAAAATTTCAGGAAGTTATTTTTAAGTGGGTAGGTAAAATATGAAAAAATACATGCGGAAGGCAATTTTTCCATAATTATCCGGTTATACCCTTTCTTTCTGAAATTTTGGATTATATTTAGCTAATGCTTTTTACCTTCAACTTACCAATGTTCTCTGAACAGCTTTCTTTACATTTTTGTGTATAAACGGATAAAAGACATCCAAGTCAAAAGGATCAATCTTTGCAACAACATTATTACAAGCAGATGTCGATTTTTCATTGAGAATTTTATTTTCTCTTGGGATCATCAGTAACGTCACATACTTAACATCAAAGAGAATTTGTATCGACAATTTCTGTCTCAATTCTTGGTTTGCTGATAATTTCTCATAATAGTCAATGGCTGACAGAACCACTTTGACTATTATTTGATTCAGAACAATTCTAGAATTCATAAAAATTTCCAAATTAAATAGAAATAGAATTTGTTTTTGGTTGAAAGACAACAAAAGGTGTGAAAGTCATAAAGCAAATAAAAGAAATTATTGAAAAAAGGAAAAAAAAGAAATGTATGAAGAGAATGTGAAAAAAGAAATGTGTTTGAAAAAAAATTCCATGAAAAATGACTCACTTTGGAATACTATGTGGTACAATTTTATTCAAATCCTTGCAGGTAGCTGAAAGATATTGCTGCAAATGAACTGAGGGTTGATAAGGGACAAGAATCTCAGACTTAATTCTCTTCCCCTCTTCAGCCTCCTCTTCAATCGTCACTTTCTCCCATTCCGAAATCATTGAATCAACTTTAAATCCAGCAACAATTTCTCTCATTAAATACCAATCCTGATGTTTAATTATTTTCAATTTAAAAGTCTCAGCCCAAGTAGACCAAACAAAAATACTCTCTTCCTTCAAAATTTCACACATATCCTGCCACTTAACATTTGTCGTAACAGTTCCTGATGTTTTCGATAATGTAAAACATTTATTTAAATTCGGACACAATAATGTCAGCGCCTGCAGAAATCTTGCACAAAAAATAGCATTCACATCCTGTTTGCCAAATTTTCCCTCTTTAATAATGCAATCCACTTTGACAAATTTTATAAATTTGTTCATCATCTCGGCACTTATTCTCTGTAAATTATCCTGAATTTCTTCACGATCGATAAATTTATTCGAAACTAGGTAAATATTAATATCTAATAAATTATTTTTTAAGGGTAGTGCTACTCTTTCTGTTTCGTACAAATATTGCTCGAGGTCGGTTAGGAGAACGTAGAGACTTTTATCAAAATTTTCTAATAGTTTGATAACATTTGGTGAAAATCCTTTAGCTTTCATTAGTAATGATCTTTTGTGATCCAGATCCATATTTTTGGAGAGATTCTGCGGAATGTCAGTAGGCGAATCTTTCCACACAAACCATCGTAAATCGTGTTCAGGATACTCAAACTTTTCATTCGAAACTTTAATTAATAGTTCCGTGACACTTGTTTTTAAGTTCATTAGACTTTCCTTCCACTTGTCGGCCACGATTTCTGTTTGTCAAATTACAAAAGATTAAAAATCAAAAAATTTTCAATTATTCAAATAACATTTAAAACTTATACACGGAGAAACCTTTGGGTCGTTTGCTCACCCGAGACTGGTGCGTCAGCGCCACCACGAAACTGGTTCATCTGCACTCCCATACTGGGAGATCAACATTCCCCGGTGTCATCTTCCCAATTTTTGGGAAGCTCATCCACCCAAACCGGTGACGCTATGCACCCAGTGGCGAGCGATCAGACTTCTCATGCAGTGGGAACCCTGGTAAAAATTTCGGACTAATTCCGGATTAAATACGGACAGATTAGTACGGATTAGTCCGAAAATTGTACGAAAAAGGTCCGAAAATGATCCGCGCTAGTCTGATATCAATCCGAACGAAAACCGGAATCCGAAAACACTCCGGAGTAATCCAGAATGTCTACGTATTCAGTCCGTAATTAGTCCGCAACAATCTAAATTTATGACCGGTGAAGAATTCTTATAAAATAAGTACGGAATTATCCGATATTAATATGTAAAGAATACGGAATCAGTCCGCAACAATCCGAGTTTAATCTAGTTAAAAAAAACTTAATCCGCAAAATTTCCGGAGCAATCCGAACTCTGTAAGCAAGAAATCCGGTATTAGTCCGCAACAATTTAAAATTAAGTGTGGCAAAATCCTATTCCGAAAGAAGTACGAAACAATCCGAAATCTGTATGCTAAGAATCCGAAAATTGTCTGCAACAATCCGGATTTACTCCAACTAAAAGGTATAATCCGAAACAAATACGAAATAATCCGAAATCTGTACACAAAGAATCCGACATTAGTCCGCTTCAATTCGAAATTAGTGTGGTAAAATCATATTCCGAAACAAATACGAAACAATCCGAAATATGTATGCTAAGAATCTGGTAATAGACGGCAACCCGAATCATATTATATCCCTGGTAAAAATTTCGGAGTAATCCGGGTTAATTTAACATCAATCCGAGTGAAATTGTGAATCCTAAAAATCAGTCTGGAGTAATCTTAAATGTCTATGAATTAAATCCGTAATTATAACGCAACAATCCGAAATTATGTTTGTCAAAAAACTCATCTAAAATAAATACGAAATAATCCGAAATTAATATGTAAATAATACGAAATCAGTCCGCAATAATCCGAATTTAATCCAGTTAAAAGATTTAATCCGAAACAAGTATGGAACAATCCAAAATCTGTATGCAAAGAATCCGGTAATAGTCAGCTTCAATCCGAATAATATCTGATCAAAACACCACAGTCCGAAAATAAGTCTTATTATTATAAGAATTTGTAAATATATACAATCCACAGGCAATTCAAAACAATCCATATTCAATCCAATTCAAAGAATTAATCCGGAATGATTTTGGTATAATATTTAATTTGTATATTAAAAACAATTTGTATTAAATGCGGATAAATTCAAACTATAATTATAATTTCGTATGACAAAAACCTGACCAAAACCAGATTAATTCTGGATTTAATAATTTCACATTTGCAAGTTGCGTATTGTCAGACTAACTTCGGATTAATTCCGGATTCACTGGTTATACACAAACCGCATTGAGTTTGAATTTATCCGGACAAATTTTGAGCGACAAAAACCTGTCCATAAGCAGACTGTTTCGGATTAGCTGCGGAATCACTGGTTAAAATTAACTGATTAATTTCGGACTTCATCGGACCAACTCCGGTTTCACTATTTGTTCACAAACCGTAGTTCGGATTTTTCCGGATTAATTTCGGGTGACAAAAACCTGACCATAAATCGCATTGTTTCGGACAAATTTCGGATTAGTCCGAAATCTGTCCGGTTTTTTAACCAGGAAAGCGAAAAATTTTGACAGGTGGGAAGACAGACTTCCCAAAGGTTTCTCCGTGTAGAATATTGACAACACACAGCATATTATTGTAAAATTAAGACAGTGTTGTCAATATTATACAATTGAGTCCATATTGTTGCAACTTTAGATGATGTAGAGAAAGTTATCAAAAGTAATTAAAAATTCTGCAGATGAAAATAAAATTACATTTAAAATGACAACATTCAAAGATAAAACACATTATCAAATTGTATGTTCACGAAGTACAAAATACAAAAGCTATGTTTCTTACCTTTTACTCGCTTCGTGAGGAGAGGTTGAAAAAATTCAGACCAAAAATTAACTCCAGGTAGAGAGAGATCATCCCAAATGGAATTGGAATTTTCAGGGACTTGAAGAGCAAGAGCCTCTTCACGAATTATGTGAACACCTTTAACTGATGTCACTAGATCTAATAATTGTGAAACTTCCAATGAAATAAAATTTCTCGTCCAATCCAACCAAGATTTAACATTCTTCTTAAGATCTTCCAAAGAGACACCAGTGAATTCGACTTTTGCAAAAGGTTTATGCATTTTTGTCATTGACGGAAGATATTTATCCAAAAGATCCTGATCTAAATCCAATTGCGACAGTATTTGAGTTGCTTCCACTTGATTAATATCATTAATATGCTGCGAAATTAATCCTCGATTATCGTTTGATTCTGTAAAATATTAAAACTGTATTGCACAATAAACATTATAAGTAAATAAATATTATTAATAAAACATATTAATAAATAAATAAATATTGTAAAAACATATTAAAAGATCAAAAATATATCAAGATACTTACTGATAAAACAATTATGAATTAAAGAAACCGTTTCCATAAACATTTTTAAGCTCAATTTTATCCGATTTCTGACACTATGATGATTCTCATTGGAAATTATGAATTGAATTGCCTGATTTCTAAATGCAATGAATTTATTGAGAAGATCCGTTGAAGGAATATCGGCGAGTAACATTAAGGATGCAAGACAATTCGCAGCTGACTAAAAAACGTTAACATTTTTTAAGGAATTGGACTAATAGTCGAATAAAAAATTAACTTCTATTTTCTTAATGAAAAAACATTTACATTGATTCAGAAAAAGTTTCATCAATTTTGTACAAATTTTGAAAAACGCTTCTCCATATCAATATCTTGCTACTCGTGTGTAAATTTTTAAGCATAAACCATAACAGTAATTATAATTTCAAGACATCCTACGGACGTCTTAAAGATATCCGGCAATAGTAAAAGTTTTAAATAAAATTAGAGAAACGATATAATAGGAAATATTATATTCACCTCTTTGGAGAGATCCAAAGATTGAAGTAAATTGTTGCAACCATTAAAAATTATTGTTTTAAATTGATTGATAATGCCCCATTGTTTACCAACAATTGGATAATTACTTGTCAATTCTGCATTGCCTACTTCAAATTTTAAACTAAAATGAATATGTTGAGCTATTTTGAACACCTTCGTTGCTAATAGAAAATCTTTACTATCAACCGCTGACCAAATATGCTCGGGAATGTCCATTAATATTTTTATCTGCATCACTACCGAATCAGAAATGTGCTGCGATTTTCTGCAAGGGAAAGATCTTGTAAATCCAAGATTCAGTTACATAATAAAATAGTAATTATTTATTGATAATAACGTGTCAACAGCTTATATTTCAGGAAATCCTATAGACATCTTAGGAATATCCAGATTTCCACAGATCAATGGTTATCCTTAGAAAGTTCATAAGATATCTTGAATACAAGGAAAAAAAGTATTCTTGTTTAGGGGTCTACCCACATTAAACGTGCTAAAAAAAGGCTATTTTAAAAAAAAATTGTTCAGGTTCAAGTTATAAATATTGATATGTGAGGCATTACATACAAAGTGTAAGGAAAAAACTTTTAATTTTTTAAAATATTTTTTTAATAATTATTAAAAATATTAAAAAATAAGAAAGTGGATATACTCTATTGATAAAATTTTTGGCATGCTGTATCTAATACCGTTTGGATTTTTTTTATACCATCCATGCCAAAAATTTCATCAACAGCGCACACTCACTTTCTCTTTTTAAGGGGAGAAACTCGTGTAAACACACGTTTTTTCAAGAATTTTTACACAAAAATGGTAAAGTTTATTGAATTTAAGTAAAGTATATGGGGCGTTATTTCTCAAACGTCTCAGCCAAAAATTGAAAGTCTTGGGATTGGCTTGATACTTTGGGAAATTGTTTTCCTATATGAAAGTAATTAGCTCATTGTTACGGCCGAACTCCGTAACTTTTTATATTGTTAATACCTTTTTTAATTATACTTAAACTAAAATTACATGAAACAATTAGATTGTTGACCCTTTTGAGGAATAGTTAGAAAATATGAAAAGTAAATTGCTCAATATAAGGAGTGGTGCATCTAAGTCACTGAACTCGGATCACGCCACTGCCTAAATCTGCAAGCTTGCAGAATTGGCTTGGCAACAGTCAAGTGCAATAAACTTAACATACGATTTCCCCACTAAATCGTTTTTCAATAAAATTGATTGATACTGGGAAATCTGGGCAGTTTAAGCCAGGCCGTGGTAGCCGGCAGTTAGCCCGGGCAGTTTAGGCCCGCAGTTTAATCGAGGCAGTTGTTGCCTGTAGTTATAGCCGGCAGTTTTTGGCCGGTAAGTCTGGCAATTGGCCGTGTTGATCGTGAAGATCAGGTTAAAGTTTGCATCCCTGAGCAAGGGATTTTCTCAAAAGTTATAAGGGTTTAATAAAAGGTTTGATCAGAAAAGTGAATTTTAATCGAGAATAATATAAAATAATTAAAGAGTAAAGAAAGGTTGATTTTAAAAGTTATATTGAAAAATAAAAATAATAAAAGTGACAAGTGAAAAAATTAAAGAATTGAAAAAAAAGAATATTGAAAATAAAGAGAATAAAAAGGAAATATAAGAATTTGTGAAAGAAATATAAAATAAAAGAAATAAAAGAGAATATCAAAAATAAAATGAATTAAAATAAATATAAAGATTAGTGAGAAAAATACATAAACTAAAGAATTAAAAGTTAACGTGAAAGAATCTAATATCAGCAAAATAAAATTAAAGTAATTCTAAAAAAGAATATTAATTTAAATATATTTTTTTAAGACAACCTTTATTTACGGGGTTTAGGTCTTAGATTTTGTAAAATTAAAAGGATTATTAAAGTTCAAAACGAAATATCTATCTAGTGAACCTAGATTAGGTATTTCTTAGTTTACCTATAAATCAACTTCAACTTGACGAAAAGCAGAATATTGAATTACTATTTCAAGAGTGTGAATTACCGAATAGTGAGTATAAAAGTCTTACACATCATAACACACACACACACTACTATTTCATTAACACGTAAAAAGTACTCATTTTACACACATAAAATTAGAATTATTTGTATTAGGGACTTTTGGGTAAAATACATATCTTATTGTTATTATCTAAATTCTGCATTTTAATTTCAACATCCCTTAAATTTTCCTATCTTCTCTTTTTCGCAAGAGTAGGGTTCTCAAACTCTTAGTTGAATCAATAACTAAGTAGATAGGGAATTCACTACCTCAACAATTTTTTTTGTTCGAAGTACACGTGAGTTAAAGTTTTAAAAAATTAATCTTTTAAAATTTGAATATTAAATTTCTAAATCCTACTTTAACACTCATTTAAAAAACAATTGTAGAAAGTAGTAGGGGTTAAAGTTTTGACATTTTAAGTAACACTGCTATTTTCAAAGCCATATAACTTTTATAAAACTTTTTTGATTGTAATGTATCTGTACACGGAAAACATTAGTTTAGTACATTTTACGAAACTAATTTTGGAATAGCGGATATGGAGAGGAGTTTAGTATAAGTTAAAACAGAATCAATAATAATATATAAAGAATGCGTTTCACAAAAACTCGAAAAAACTTCTGTGGAAATCACAAATGTTATCAATCTAAGTTCTGCAGTGGTCGGTTGGATGTTTTGATTCAAGAGTTTTGTCTTCTTCTTCTTCTTCTTCTTCTTCTTCTTCTTCTTCTTCTTCTTCTTCTTCTTCTTCTTCTTCTTCTTCTTCTTCTTCTTCTTATTAACCGTTCACACGGTTACGTTGACAACGCACTTGCCTTAAGCATCGTGCATACTGCGACTGCCATGATCAGAACAGGTACAAGAGTTTTGTAAAATGTGTAGCCTGAAGCGCATGCGCACACAGAGAAAAATATTCAAGGAGAAAAAAACGAATGAAACAGAAAAAAGAATTTCTTAAAGCACCAATGGAGCTCTTAAGACCATTTTTTCTCTTCTTCTATATAAGAGATAGATGGTTGATTCGACACATGTGACTACACTCTACAACGCAATGGTTCGCTTTGAATGGCTTATTTTATTCTAACACTAACTTAACGGAAATACGCATACATATAAACGAACTCTGACGCAACGCATATACAATATAACTCACACTGTAGATGAAAGAATTGAATTTCTTTATATACTAATTGAGGAGATTAAACTGCGCTTGTAAGAAATATCAATATACTTAATATTAATGTAAAAAAAAATTATTTTTTTAAAAGTTATACAAAATATTTTAGTTTTTAAAAATAAAATTTTTGAATTATAATTAGTTATAAAATCTCTATAAAATTCTTATATTTTTAAAAATAAATTTATTCTTAATTTTAAATTATAAATAATTGATAAAAAAATTCAAAATTTAATTCAAACTTCATAGACTAAAATTTACTGGAATGTAAATTAAAACAAATTAATAATTAAAACTTTCGATTACAGAACATAAAAAAGGTTATACTTGAAACAACTTAACAACGTTAGGTGAAATAGTTAAAAGAAAACAATATGATCCAAACGTTACTGGGAGGTAAAGCAGTTCTCTTTTTCCTTCCACATATTGATCATCCGTATACTAAGCAGACAAGTTAATACCGACGCGATGAGACAAGCTTTAAGATATCTATCTATAACGCGACTTTTGGTACACCCTGTATAGAATTTTACAAAACTCTGTTCTAGAATTCACAGCAGACAGCGAAGTGAAAACTCAAACCACGTGTTATTTAGATTGTACGAAACATTTTTCACCATTTTCTCATAAAATATTCCTCAGAAAATACGAAACTTTTCTACATTCAAACTTATTTTAGAAATTACAAAACTGGTTACAGTTTCTCCAAAATTGTTCTGCTTAAAGTAGTGAAAGTTTCTGAGTTTATAGAAAACTTCGTCAAGGAATCTTAAATATCCGCTAGTGCGAAATTAGTTTCGTAAAATGTACTGAACTAATTTTTTCCGTATAATTAATTTAAAGCATTTTTCATGTACTTTCTATAAATTTCACAAAAAAATTTTGACCCCCTTTTTTATAAAAATTAGGTTTTATTTTTAATTTTGACCTTAATTGGTATTTAAAAATATTTTTTTTAAATTTCCATTGGAAAGCTGACATTTTTCCCGAAAAAATCATGTAACTTTCATAGTGGGCTGACCATAAGTTTAGAAGAAAATTGAAAACAAAGTAAGCCGTGCGCCTGCGTTACTTATACGTTACGCCGGCGCTGCGCTGTTGACCGACATAAATATCACTGTTTTTTCTTTATTCGCTTCAGGAAAAGTTCTCTGTACTTTATGGAGTTGAGACTGTCATAAAAAAATGTCAGTATTACTGTTGCTAAAAATTTTTTTAAACAATTATTTTTAAAAAAAAACGTTAAAGCTTAAATTTTTGTTTTATTAATTAACCTTGAAAAAGAAAACTTGATGCTTAAAAATAAAATATTTTTCTAATACAATCGAAATAAAAATTTATCTGTGTAATTTTGCAAATTTTTAAAACAATTTTGAAACAATTTAAAAAAGTCTGCGTTACTATTATCACAGGCCTACAAATTTCAGACCCAGAAACGGGATAAGTCATTTCCGATGTAATTTGTCACCCTGAATCCAAAACTGGCAGCGAAATTGCTCTATCACGTCAGGATTCTGAGATATTCTAACCTAAAAGAGTAAAAAAGGCCATTTTTGGCAACATTCGACTCTCCATAAAATCTACAAAAATTTTTTTGTATCATTGGAACAACTTTTAAAAGAAAGTACAATTATTTACCTTTTAAAATATTCTACACCCGATCCGATCCGACTTTTTTTTTACTAAGATACAACAATTTAAAGTTCAGGTTACACGACCTAAAAACTGAAAAAAGGAAGAAAAGAATAATTGGAAAGTACTTTAACTTAAAGCATCTGATTCTTAATATTTTGGGATTGTTGATTAGAAAACCGATGTCGGATTTTCAAAATTCAAAATGGCGGATCCAATATGGCGTATGTCAAAATAAAACAAGTTGTTCATTTCATGATCATTAAGCTTCCTCAATAAAATATATACCAATTGTTTAATTTTTTATTTTAGAATAATTATTTTAAAGTGTTAAGATAAAATGTCAAAAAATACAAAATTTCAATTTTTTGTGAAAATTTAAAACATTTATTAATTCTATAAATTTTGATAAAATATATACTTTATATACATGAATCGATTCATTTTTATGTCAGGAATGCAATTTTGACAAGAATTAATAAAAATGTTAATATAGAAAAAAGTTATTTCAAAAAATCCAAAAATTAATTTTTTCAAAAATTAAAAAATTGTTGAAAAAAAATTTTTTTTTAGATATTTTTGAAAATCCTTTTGTTTGATTTTTGGTATTCGTGACCGTAATACACCTACAAAATTTTATCAAAATCCGTCAAGACGTGTAAGAGAAAATTTGTCCACAAGAATCGGTGACACACACACACACACACACACACACACACACACACACACACACACACACACACACACACACACACATACATACACACACACACACACACACACATACATACATACATCCGGACATTTGTTCCTCTCGACGAATTATATATACTACACTTGAAAATTTGTAAAAATAATTGGTTCTAAAAAGTTCGGAAATCGACATCACTATAAGGCTTCCTTTATGAGGAAGCAAAATTGATCGGATTCGCTTGAAACTTTTTACTCGGGGGTTTTTGAGGTCGCTAATTACGAATACGATGTCAGATTTTCGAAATTCAAAATGGCGGATGTAATATGGCAACATATTTTTAAAAAATTTAACGGATTCGCTTGAAACTCTTCACTCGAGTGTTTTTGAGGTCGCTTATTAAGAATCTGGTGTCACATTTTCGAAATTTAAAATTATTGTGGATCTAATGTGGTATTATATGTTAGTAAAATCGAAAAACGTAAAATTCGAAGTCTTTTGAGTACTTTAAAAAAAGATTTCCACACCTATAGATATCCAAATTGAGAAAAGATGTATTTACAGGTCTAGATATAAGCAAAGAAGTGATTCTGTATTATATTCTAAAAACGAAACCAACTATACGAAGATCCTTTGTAGAAAAATGTGTAAAGGTTCATAAAGAAATATAAAACTTTTAACTTTCTTTACTAAAAGAGTGTATAAATTATGCCCTAAATGTTCGAATTTTACGTTCTTCGAATTTACTAACATATAATACCATATTAGATCCACAATAATATTAAATTTTTAAAAAATTTGACACCAGATTCTTAATAAGCGACCTCAAAAAACCCGAGTAAAGAGTTTCAAGAGAATCCGTTAAATTTTTTAAAAATATGTCGCCATATTACATCCGCCATTTTGAATTTCGAAAATCTGACATCGTATTCGTAATTAGCGACCTCAAAAACCCCCGAGTAAAAAGTTTCAAGCGAATCCGATCAATTTTTTATTTTGACATACGCCATATTGGATCCGCCATTTTGAATTTTGAAAATCCGACATCGGTTTTCTAATCAACAATCCCAAAATATTAAGAATCAGATGCTTTAAGTTAAAGTACTTTCCAATTATTCTTTTCTTCCTTTTTTCAGTTTTTAGGTCGTGTAACCTAAACTTTAAATTGTTGTATCTTAGTAAAAAAAAGTCGGATCGGATCGGGTGTAGAATATTTTGAAAGGTGAATAATTGTACTTTCTTTTAAAAGATGTTCCAATGATACAAAAAATTTTTTGTAGATTTTATGGAGAGTCGAATGTTGCCAAAAATGGCCTTTTTTACTCTTTTAGGTTAGAATATCTCAGAATCCTGACGTGATAGAGCAATTTCGCTGCCAGTTTTGGATTCAGGGTGACAAATTACATCGGAAATGACTTATCCCGTTTGTGGGTCTGACAAAATTCTAAATTTTGTAGGCCTGTGTTATTATTAACTTAGATTTGAATTTAGAAGAGTTGTGATAAATTTAGTTCCCAAGTTATTAAATTATTTTTGTATATTTTACTCCTTTTTTGTTGCGAAACTCGTGTAGTTATTTTTTTACTTATTAACATCATCCTGAAGAGAATTTTTTAAAATCAGATTTGATTATGCTCCAACTGTACAAAAGACAATTTAATAACATGCTTTTATTTTTTTTAAATTGCAAAATTTATACACATACATTTTTATTTCGATTGTATTAGAAAAATATTTTATTTTTAAGCATTAAGTTTTATGACAGTCTCAGCGTAAGTAACGTAAGTAACGCGGGCGCACGGCTTACTTTGTTTTCAATTTTCTTCTAAACTTATGGTCAGCCCACTATGAAAGTTACATGATTTTTTCGAGAAAAATGTCGCTTTCTAATGAAAATTAAAAAAAATATTTTTAAATACCCATTAAGGTCAAAATTAAGAAATAAACCTTATTTTTCAAAAAAGGGGGTCAAATTTTTTTTGTCAAATAGCAGTGTTACTTAAAATGTCTATACTTTAACCCCCACTACTTTCTACAATTGTTTTTTAAATATGCTAATATTTTATAAATTTATTACTTTTATATAGGACAACAATTTCACAAAGTATCAAGCCAATCCTAAGACTTTTAATTTTTGGCTGGGACGTTTGAGAAATAACGCCCCATATAATGTAATCTATCTAAATTATTTTTTTTAATTAAAAATATTGCAAACCGGTGGCGTTATAAGCATTTGAAGTTAGACCTTTGGTTTTGCGCCGTGAGCCTACTGGTCTCAAAATTCAACTAAAGTCGAAAAACAGAATGTTTATCGTTAAAATACACAAATACGCTTTGCATGACGAAGAGAAAACTGAAAAATATATAAATTTTGGGACATTGTTGAATAAACCGCTTATTTTTATACAAACAATTTAAAAAAACAATGTTTAAAATTTTTTTGAAAAAAGCAGATCGTCATGGAATAGCCAGTAAGTTAAAGTAGATTTTCTGGTAAGTTTCATGAAAATTGGCTGAGCTACATTGCACGGCGCGCGAAAAAATACGTTTTGAGAAAATCGCGTTTAAAGTTTTCGATACAAAAAAAGTAGTCTTTAAAGGGACTTACAGCTTTTAACGCTTAGTCAGCTATACCAGGACCTTATAATAACTATTGCACTAACATCAAGCAAGATTCACTATCTCTTACTAATAGTACTTACTATTGACAATTAATAAAATTTTATTACCAAAGAAGCATTTATTATGTGCAATACCTCTAGAATAAAAACTGCTCTACCGATTGTGTACAAACTTGGTATGGACGTATCTTTCAACGCAGAAATTGAAAAAATTATGTAAAATATGATTGGACTTGATCAATTCGTAGTGTTTCCATAAAAATTAAAGATTTCAAAAAAAGCTGGTTTTCATTTTTTCAATTTTAGACCTTGGCAATTAGGAAGTATGGTTTTTTGTGTATTTTTACTAGCTGAGAAAATTTCAGCAAACCGAATTCAGATTGAATAAAATATAATTTTTGGAAAAAGAATCGTACAAGTTCAAGTTTTATTCACATTTAACATAGGGTTCCGTAAACGAAATGAACTTTTTTAGTAAAAAAAATTCGCATAATAATAATAATAATAATAATAATAATAATAATAATAATAATAATAATAATAATAATAATAATAATAATAATAATAATAATAATAATAATAATAATAATAATAATAATAATAATAATAATAATAATAATAATAATAATAATAATAATAATAATAATAATAATAATAATAATAATAATAATAATAATAATAATAATAATAATAATAATAATAATAATAATAATAATAATAATAATAATAATAATAATAATAATAATAATAATAATAATAATAATAATAATAATAATAATAATAATAATAATAATAATAATAATAATAATAATAATAATAATAATAATAATAATAATAATAATAATAATAATAATAATAATAATAATAATAATAATAATAATAATAATAATAATAATAATAATAATAATAATAATAATAATAATAATAATAATAATAATAATAATAATAATAATAATAATAATAATAATAATAATAATAATAATAATAATAATAATAATAATAATAATAATAATAATAATAATAATAATAATAATAATAATAATAATAATAATAATAATAATAATAATAATAATAATAATAATGCAAGAATAATAATAATAATAATAATAATAATAATAATAATGCAAGAATAATAATAATAATAATAATAATAATAATAATAATCATAATAATAATAATAATGTACAAGAATTCATTTCGTGTACAGAACCCTAGGTTTTGTGTGAGTAAAACTCGTGGTTGTCCGATTTTTCTTATTTCAAATAGAAAATTTAAGAGGATTGTAGAAGAGAAATTCTCCTCTCAAAACAATAATAATTTTTTTCGATGTATCCGTGGATGCTCTGTGTATAATTATTGTGAACAATTAAAGGATGCGCTGTAAAAAAGCCGTATCTGACAAAAATTGGTTGGTTAGATTTGCTTGACATTTAACGTCATAAATCAATTTTCGTCCAACATACGCTTGAATCAGTAAGAAAATTTTCCTTGGACAAATTTCGTGATCATTATAAATCAATTATTAATATTTAGCTCCAAAAGTTGAAGTGTCATTTTGGCGGATACAGATTTTTGACAGCGCACCCTTTAATTATTAAAAATATAATATCAATAATAATTTCTGGTCGTGACTTTGGATAAAAAATACCTAGTTAACATTTCTTTATCTGGTTCCATTTTAAATCCCATTAAATATTTTTGTTGTAAATGTTGAAACGTGTCTTGTATGTCGCAAATTCTCGAAACAACACATTCTGATGTTTCTTTCATTTCTGCAATAGTGTCTGCAGCTTGAATTAAATCTCGATACCTTTCTCTGAAAAGATAATTTATTTTTCATTAAAAAATTGTTTTTTCTTTTCTTAATTTTATTAAGAAAAAAATGATTGTAATTATAAATTAAAAAATTTTATAAATTTATTTTTATTTTTTAGTAGGTATCTTTATTTTTATATTATTATAAATTTAATCACTTTATGGTCTTCTTTAAAATTACTTTTGTCAATCGAACTTATAATCATAAATAATATAATGTGACATGTGTCATGAGTAATGCCTTCAAAAACTACTGAGATATCCGCTAAAGTTTTGACTTTTTATTAGGTACATTTATGTGAATTTAAAAATTTTTAAATTAACGTGTGGTACAAGTTCATATGTATAAACTTATACATGTTACATGCTTCAAAATCAGTAAAAACAAGATTATTCTAAGTGTAGTTGTTTATTACATGAACATTTTGCTTTCTCTTTGCAATCAACAAAAAAATTTGCTTTCTCGTGGAGGAAGCAGGGGAGACCGAGGAAGAAAGAAACAAAAATCAGTTATCTAAAGGTAGCGTTAAAACTGTTAGCCAGATAAACTTTGGCAATACATTTATTGAAAGCTTAAACCTTCACCTACACAGTAAAAACAAAGTCTTAAATTTAATGGTGGCTAGTTTTAATTTTTGACTTATCTTAAGCTATCAACTTTATTTAATCATAAAAACTAACTGAAAATTAAAGTTAGTTGTACTCTTACTTAAATAAAACTCAGTTTGTAATTTATTTGTAATACACCGGACTTAATTTCAGATCCAATGGTATTAATAAAAAGTTGGATGAAATTAACTTCTAATAAGGTACGCTAACAGCTGACTGTAAGTCTGGCGAGGCTGAAAAAGTTGATTGTGACGTCACAAGGGACGCAATTTGCAAACGTGAAAAGTCTGAATAGCGCGTCGCGTCGCCGGTTTACTTTTGACTCGTGTTTTATTAATAATATATAAGTCCATAAATTATATTTATAATTGGTGAATCTTAGACAGAAAGTTTAGTTTTATTAGTATGTTAATATTTTAATTCGATTATAAACAAGTTTATAAACAGTTTATAATCTTAATTTCACCTAATATATATGTGCATTAGCATTTAATTCTTTATCTTAAAGAGAGAAATTTCCACTGATAGTTTTAATAATTGTTGTTTGTTATAAGAAATTAAATGTGACATATGTTTATTTTAATAAAATTCAAGAATATGAACATACACTGTAAAAACAAAGTCTTTCTTTAAGGCGGTGTCAAAGTCGATTGGATTTTTGCATTGAGCTTCAATGGAAAAATCGCATCGACTTTGACACCGCCTTTAAGCTCGAAATTTGTCTTTTTTCAAGGTGTAAACGGAAGACTCCCCAATTGATACAAGTAAGGTGTTAAATAAACTGAAATTCAACTCTAAGCTTGTAAGAAGGCTGAAATTTGGCTAGATGGTTTGGCTGAATTTTAGCCTTCTTACTAGCTTACAGTTGAATTTCAGTTCATTTAACACCTCACTTGTATCAATTGGGGAGTATTCTTTTTAAACTTCTAATCATTACTGACATTCAGCCAATATGGTCTACTTCCGTTTACACCTTGAAAAAAGACAAATTTCTGGCTTAAAGGAAGACTTTGTTTTTACAGTGTATTAAATAAAACTCTAATAAGAAAATAAAATTAAATAGTATGTTTGCAGCAATCCTGTTTCGCGACCTCTGCAGTTGTTACTTTCCTCCTCACCCACTAAGAGGAAAGTATAAGATAAATGAATTATGTCAAATGTTTTAAATTGAAGACTACGATTAATTTAGAAATTATTCATTATAAAATTAAAAAAAAATTGGTATCATTTGAGTCAACTTGGACATTTTCTCCGCAGGTTCCTAGATTTTAGTACTAAAAAAGTAAAAAATTTAACTTTTAAATCATAAAAATAACTTTTTATAACTCAGTCATAAAAACGGCGTTTTTTGGTACTCCAGAGATAAGTAGAAAACTGCCTTTTCTTGAACAGAGCGTCATAAGAGCTCTTATTCGTACGGAGTGCAAATAAGACTACCCCAGAGTACGAAAAAGAAAAATAATGTAACGACTGCGATGAACCAAGTGAGAAGGACAGAATGAGTCGACGTTTTTATCGAGAATAGGTAGCACACAGACTACTGAAAAAACGCGTCGCGATAAACTCATTTGCGCAGGCGTAGATATATATAGCAATAGTAAAGGCCTAAGCACAACTACTTTGCGAATGTCGTTCGCGAATGCAATGCATTACTTTCCTCCTCGGTATCCGCTAATAACATTATTTCATTCTTTGGAAGTTATTTTTTAAATCGATAGTTTTCAGTAAATTTAAATAAAAAAATTTTTTTTTTAAATAAGTGATTTTAATTAATTGATTTAGTTCTTAAGAAATTTCCAATACAATCTAACATTTATATAGTCCAATCCATTCGTTTTGATGCAAAGAATAAGATTTTATTATAGGTACTAGCATAAGATAGTTAAGCATAATTCTAGTTCAATTATTAAAAGAATATATGACAGTTTGATAATTTCGATATTTTTTGACAAATAGAATCCTAGAAAGATTTAACCAAATTATACGATAAATAAATTAACTTTCGAATTTCTCTAAGTACATTTATAATAAACAATTATTTTAACGAAATGAAATTAAACGATTCAAATGTTTAGATTATTTGTCAATAACAAAAAAATGTTGATAGTAAGAGATGATGTAATAAATACTTAAAGCAGAACAATTACAGAAACGAATTTGTCATTAAACGATTGGTTCATTAAAATAAAAATTGATAAGACAGTAATTTTTTAGAAAAACCACGATGAAATATTAAAAACGGAGGGAGATAAAATAAAGAACAGTTTACTAAACTTTGAAAACTATTATTAAAAACGGTGGGAGATGAATTGAACAAAAGTATAAATAAATAAATATTAAATTCACACGAGAAAATTACGAGACTCATATAGTCAGAAAATAGTTTAAATTAGTAAAAACTAAATTTTCTGAAATTACGATTGTTTTAAAGAATCCAATATAAAAGACGAGTTCATTAGAACAGAAAATAAGACACATAGAAATGTTATTTTAAATTTATATTAAAGATTAGTGAAAATCAGTTGACTGTTAAACAAACGATAAAGTCTAAAAATTAAAACGATTGGTTGAGAAGAATTAATAACGAATTGTATTTGACGACAAAGTATAAATTATATTCTATAATAGATTAACCAATGATAGTTAAAAATAGTAAAAAGTCAAAATATTTATTTAAGATGAGTTTTTCAATCGAAAATACGACAGTTTAAGATCTCTTAAATTGAAAGCAAGGTCAATAATTCCAGTATTTAAAACATAAAAATTTATATGATTTAAAATAAATTTATGCGACAGTATCTAAATATTAATTTTTATACGAACAGTTTTAACAACGATAACTCATAACGATCTTAATTAAACTCATGTGAACCTGGATGTCTGTTAGATATGAAAATACGACTTAGAGACAACAAAAAGCATGACAGTTATACAAGAAGCAGATGTTAACGAAATTCTGATCAGCTAATAAATTTTATAAAATCAACAAATGTATTAGAACAGTTATCAAATCAAGAACAAAAGGAACGTGGAAACAAATGACAGTTTGGAATTCTATGAAAAAGCTCTTGATATTTCTTAAAGAATAACGATTGATTAGTTTTGTATCACGTACATAAAACTATAAATTAAGATTAAATGAATAATTTAACGTTTGACTGAAATTAAAATAATATTTGAACTTCATAAGTAGACGATCGATCTGTTTGCTAATTTAAACATAAGTTTTTGCTAATAGCAAATAATGTTTTTCAGATGTGATTCTTGTAATGCGACTGTTTCAAGACATTATCTCTTGAAATACTAATAATCAAATGTACATTGTTTATTGAAATTTGAGATTGAATATTGCTACTGATGAAAGTCAATATTTTAACAAAATTATGACGATAAGCGAATCCCAGACGAAAAAGTTTGACAAAGTTTTATTTACAACGACTAGTTAAATATGATAATAAAGCTCAGGCCTCGAACTGCCTTTTGCATCGAAAATTACGTACTTTACGTACCAAAAAAGGAAAAATTAGTGACCAATTTACGTACCAAAATTTGTAATTTTTTATTTAAAGTGCCAACTTTAAATCGCAAAATAGAATGATATAGTTTAAATAATTACATGGATTTCAATCAACATATTTTTATTAGTTTAGAAAATCTTAAAATTGAAATAATATTTTATATGTTATTATGATAAAATTTTACTTAAGAACTGTAAATTAAGAAGTTTTTGAAATTCTTTAAGGGTTCATACCACTTTGTCAACTTCAAAAAATTAAATTTTTTTACGGATTTTGAAAGTATAGAATATCTCAAAAATGTTGTGTAAAATTTTAGCAAGATCTCAGCACTTTAAATATATTATTTTAGGTGACATTTGAACGCGTACAAAGGCTATACATAGTTACTAGTTGAATCAGTAAATTTTTACATTATAAGTAACTCAATTCACATTTTTTCATGTTGTGTATTCTATTGTTAAATTTTAAATAATTAAACAATATTTTTTTAATAAAACGACGTTTTCATATAGTTAAAGAGTGTCTTTGTTAAACTATAAAAGACCTAAATCAATAAAATTTACATGGATCGTAAAAAAATTCTACAAAAAAGCTAAATTTTGAGGCATGAATAGTGGTATGAACCCTTTATTAACAAAATATGACTTTTGTTTTCGACCAATCACTGTTTCTGAAAATGATCACCGTCAGCGGATTGATCGGAAAGTGAATGTGAATAAAAATAGAGAAGGCATAACTAAATGTTTATTCACAATCTGTATACATATTTTGATTTTTAGTCAAAATGGTCAAAATTACGTACTTTACGGACCTTTTGTCAAAATTACGTACTTTTAGGTACCAAATTCAAAATTACGTACTTTTCCTTAATTTA